GTTTGGGATGTCTGTGTTGCCTGTGGGTGATGACGGATGCTCCTCAGAGTGTCTCCATGGCTCATTGGGTGGTGGGAACCAACAGTCTGTGGGGTTCAATCGTGATGTGAGTAGGCCATGTGCCGCTTTGCTCCGTGTTGGATGTGTGGACTGCCTCATCTGCGCTCTGCCGCTGCCTTGCTGCCTGTCCTGCTGGCTTCGCATGTGGTTCTCTGCAAATTGCTGTATTCGCTGCGTGGTGTGGCCGTGTTGTCGGTGTTGCCTTGTGCTTCGGTGCTTGCTGCCTTGCTGCTCATCCGCTGGCCGTGCCTTCCGTGTTTGCCGTTTGCATGCCTTGTAGTTTTGGTTGCCTTGTGCTTCACTGCACGGTTGCCGAGCTGCTGGTCTGCTCGCCCTGCCATCCCTTGCAGTGTGGTTGCCTTTTGTGCTTCACTACACGGTTGCTGTGCTGTTCATCCGCCATCTGCTTACCATGTCATTTCTTGCAGTCGTTTTTGGCTCTGTGCAGCCGTGTTGCCTCTACTGCCTTGCCTGGTGCTCCGTAGGATTGCTGCCCACTGCTATGTTCGGCCTGGGGACAGTCTGTCTTCAACAAGGGTCAAAGGGTACATGACCCAAACCATCAAATATGGAGATTCCGCAGATTGTCGAGGGTTGGTGCGACTCCGATGAAACAATCTATCATCAGTTTTTATTTTTTTTGCTCTGTTTTTTTTTGCTACTTGTTCTTTTGTCTGCCTTGTTGTCTTGTTGCCTTGCTTCTTGACCTCCTGTCTGTTCTTTTCTTGCTTAGTGTTGTTTGTCTGCCCACCCGCCTCCCCCACGCCCTCCAGCCTACGTTCCGTGCTGTTGCTTCACCACCCTAGTGCTACTTCTTGAATTGTTGTTGCTGCCTCATTCTGCCTAGTGCTGTTTGCCTGCCCATCACCCTCCACCCTTTGTTCTTTGCTGCGGCTTGTCGTCCAAGTGCCGTGTTGCATCTTCGGACTCTTCACCTTTGCTTTGCCATTCTGTGTGCCTTGTTATACTTGCCTTTTTTTCCTTCGTTTTTTTTATATTTGCCTTGCCGTTGGTTGGCTTGGTTTTTGTTTTGTGTTTTTCCTTTTTGTTTCATGGCTTTAGGAAGGTGGACATTCTAACGCCATTGGGCATCCTGGGCTGCGGGCTCTTCTCTGTGTTGTTTATAAGCACACCTTCCAATGCAACATGCCACAGTATGGTCGCAGGAGCCACGCAGTACAACAAACACACACACACCACATACTGATCCCCAACCATGTGTTGCAGAGTCCTTAACAAAACCTACACCATATGTTGAACTATGTTGAGCTTGGAATATGTTGGCCACATGATTGAGAGAGAAAGGCTGTGTATACCAAACAGTTGGTTGTCTTCAAGATAACACATTTAAAAACACACTCCAACAACAACAAAAAAAAGAAAAAGAAAACATTCCAACATAAAAAAAGAAGAAGAAGCACAAGCAATGTTTCTGTTGGAGCAGTCCTACTAGTCCACCACCTACTCTCACCACAAGCAGAGCCCGCAGACTGCTGGTAGCGAATGCTTGTCATCACCGGTGGAACATGCACCCACAGACATTCTGAACAGAGCAGCCTCCCTATTATAATAGTGTTGCAGGCACTCCAGACAAACAACCAACGACTATTTGGCACTTCTGAGAGGTGCTCAACCAGGTTTTATACAAATTAGGAATAAAAAATTGGAAGGGAGATATCCATACATACAACAGATTGTGTGTGTGTGTGTGTGTGTGGATGAGGGTGGGGCAGCGCTGAGACTCTTGCCCTATTTTGGAAGATGTTCATATGTCGCCATCGCCTCCATAGTCAGGAACTGGCTGACCTACTCAGGGGCTCGTTAGACACTCCTAAAGGAATCCTATAAGATTTAGGGCCAGTCCTAAAAGAATTTTAGGAATTGTGGCATGGCGGTTACACGCATTCCTAAAAAAACATTGTACTAACAGTTTTGGACCAGTCCTAAAAGAAAGTTGTCATTACAAGAAAAAAAGAAAAGAAAAAATCCGTGGCTCAGGGTTTCAGCCAATAGGGTGCCACCACAGTTCAACTTCGGAGGATGCCCTCTCTCGTGGTTCAACTTCGGAGGATGCCCTCTCCACACGGACACATTGTTCCTCCGAATTTTAAAGCTCCTCGCGAGGAGCTTTATTTTTTGGGTACTTTTGGCTGGGGATTCCTTTTTTTTTTTCAGGACTAGTCCTAACGCTGTTTTCACTTCTTTTTTCAGGAAGTAACTTTTAGGAATGCATGTAACAACACTGCATTCCTAAAAACTGGCATTTTTAGGAGTGTCTAACAAGACCCTCAGTCCTACCGCGCATGTTCCACCAGAGGCATAGAGCAGGGTGGCACCTGCTGCAGTGCTAGCATGGGCTGCTGCAAGGAAGAGCCTCCCTCGAACCGTCCCTGCACCCACACCGATGACCCATCATGACCGAATGCGACGAGGCACACTGCTCTACGCTGGTTGGACAAAGTGACATGCCGGCCTTGGACTGTCAGTAGACGTTCTGAATTTCTGAAACTGACATTTCAAAACCCCCATTGCCCCACTTGCAGTTGGTCTGTGTTACCTTCAACAGTTACTGAGCGTCAAACGCTGCGCTCAGAGGGCTTCCGCGCCTTGCTCCATATGGGCTGATGAGCCAGGGGAGGAGTAGATAGCCAGCGACTGCCAACAGGCGCCCTCCGGGGATATCTGGCACATGGTGCAGAACTATGTGCCAGTCTTGTTCGGGCCTACAAGTCCTCTTTCTCCTGCTGGTACAACGACGAGTTCATCAAAATTCTAGAGTCATAAAAGGTCCCCCGGAACCCCACAAACAGATCCAGCATCCTCTTTTTTTTTCTAATCGGCTCCAGTGTTGGAATACTAGGTGTGGACGTGGCATACTGCGTAGCCACACGGGCCTGCAGGGCCCGTCCCGCGTTCCCAGCCTAAAAGCCTAGAAATAAGGGCTTACAGGCCCCTGTCGTTTCAGCCTGAAAGACTGAAAAACGAGGGCCTGCAGGCCCTACGTCGTTTCAGCCTAAAACAGGGCTTTTCAGCCTGAAACGGAGGGCCACTTTCGGGCCCTCATAAGATCGACCTGTCCTAACACTCAGGCACAAAACCAGGGTTTCGGGAACAGGCTATCTTTAGCCTGTTCCCACGACAGCCTCAAGCAGTAGCTGCAGCGGCAGCCCCTGACTCCCTTCGGCATTGGCAAGAGCAGCCTCCTGGACTGCCTCGCCCTACAGTCAGGAGGCAGGCCGAGTAGTACACAGGGAGTTCCCATGCACTTCACGGGTAGGTAGTTGGACAGAAGGCAGGAGTAGTCTTCAGGATTCGGCCGCAGCACTCAGGAGGAGGGCTGCAGGAGTAGCTTAGCGCTAGCAGTAGTCTTCAGCGCTGGGCGCTAGTAGCCATAGCAGTAGTCTTCAGCGCTGGGCGCTAGTAGGTGGTAGTRKTAGAGTTGGGAGAGATGGCTGGCGGAGGCCAGTGRGACTTACCTGTGGCGCCATAGCTCCAGCTCCATCTTCGAGGTACCTGCATCAAGGCGCCAACTTCACAGGTTAGTACCGGACTGAGAGAGAGAGAGAGAGAGTTCTTCTTCTTCCTCTTCTAAGTCCACCATCTCTTCTTCCCCTCTCGCCACCTGACTTCTCAGTATCAGCGGACGACTACAGAGAGAGAGAGAGTTGTGACTTGAGACTTGACGACATTGGATCCAGCCTGGACATTGGGATTCAGACATTTTGACGAGGGACTATTTGGGCCTGACAGTGTGCCAAAGACTTGGTGTTGACGACATTCCCATCTTCCCCTCCTCTTTGTCTAACCCCCCTCTTCTTCGTCTGTGTATGGTTGGGGCTGGCGCATTCTTCCTGTGTGAGCGCCAGACCCCTTCACACCATGGAATGATGATGATGATGTATGTCCGGGGCTGAATTGCAATATTGATTGTTCGGATCTATCTAAGTTTTCCGCTGCGCTATCTTGTAGTTTGTATTGAGAGGTCGGTTCTTGTTCTGGTCTGCACAGTTACAGTATGCAACAGTTTGGTATCAGAGCGGACCTCTCATTCAGAGGACCCGCTCAATCAAGTAGCCAGCTTGCTTGATCTATTGATTACTCATTAGTAAATCAAGTACGACTTCGTCAAATCTCTGAATTTTTTTTTTCTCGCAACAAATATCTGAAAATTTCCGATAATCGCATTTCGTTTTTACCTGAAAATTTCTGATATTAGTATTTCGTTTTCACGCAACAAATATCTGAAAATTTCTGATAATCGCATTTCGTTTTACCTGAAAATTTCTGATATTAGTATTTCGTTTTCACGCAACAAATATCTGAAAATTTCTGATAATCGCATTTCGTTTTATCTGAAAATTCCTGATAGTAGCATTTCGTTTCTCTGATATTTCGCATACATAGTCGAAAATTTCTGATGTTAACATTTCGTTTTCTAGGCATATTAGGATAACGATAGAAGTGGTCATATTCTCGGAAGCCGGATTTATTCTTTTCTGAAAATCGAATTTCCATTCTATCTCCCAATTTTTTTTTGAAAACCGAAATCTTGCAAAGCCTACCAGCATGTCGTTAGGCATATTAGAAGGTTGCCATATTCTCAGAAACGGGATTTAGTTCTTTTCTGAAAATCGCATCTCTACTCTATTTCGCAATTTTTTTTTTTCAAAGATCGCATTTTTATATATTGGAAGGTTGCCTAGATCTCGCTCATAGTACACTTCTGACATGTCTCACTCATAACAGATCGACAGATATACAAAAAA